GGAGGCCATCGCTCTTAGGTTGGAGGCCACCGCATTTAGGTTGGAGGCCATCGCTCTTAGGTTGGAGGCCATCGCTCTTAGGTTGGAGGCCATCGCTCTTGGATAATATGCAGTCGCTTCCATGGAAAAGAACTTACTCCTAAAGAGTTACTGTGAATTCACTTTACTGTTTTTTTTACATTCGTTTACTAAGTTTTTATTCAACTGTGGCTGCCGCTTTCGGTTTGTTTGTTTTCACAAAAGATGTGCTTACATTTGTTTAGTGTTTTTAAATGCCTTTTTCCTGTTTCCCTCTTGCCGAGTTGCCGGCCCCTCAGCGGCCTCTTGAGGACTGGCTTTTCCCCATCGAGACGCCAGCTGCAGAGAGGGAGCTCACCCGTCCACTGGGTGTTCCGCCGAGTAGCGCATTGACCACGTCGAAGCCAACTGGGAAGAGCAGGCAGTGATGGGACGGCCCCGTTTAGTCCGAACATTTATATATACACATACACAGATGTTTACAGACAATTACAAATCGATACAATGCAATAAAGATCAACATGCACATGGAGAACAGTTTCGAAGATGTGACATGCAATAGAAATGCAGGCCAGATGAGCAATGGATTGGTCGAGGACACCTAGCAGGCAATGCTGACTTGCTTCTCAATGAGGATCTCTTGGTAGACTTCAAGGCTGTGCCTTTGGTGAAGCGTGAGCTGAAGCTGAAGCATACAGACGACCTGTTTCAGACCTTGTGTGACTCTTGGCAGAACAATGTCAAGCATGTCGAGCCTTTTCCATTTGCCCGAGGTACTTATATAAGACAGTGGTACGAAATGCGTCATGTCACATGTCCATATATTTCCTACGTTTCCTATATTGAATTGTTGCGTGCTTTTGCGATGTTACTTTTGAAAGTTTTGCGCGACAACAGTGCGCTGAACAGTGCCCTGTTACTGCTCAAGTTGTTTGTCATCTTTACTGTACATAGATTAGAGTGGAATTTCGACATCAGAACCATCCTATTTTTCCGAGGGTTCGTCGCGCATTTAGATGTGTACCTCAAGGGGGGGTTCAGGTGGGTGGTTGGGCAAGATGCTTGCGTTCGTGCTGTCTAGCACGGACATGTATCCTAAAATCCCATTTGGGTGTTGCAATGCCGTAATACCTTTAACAAGTAACAAGACGTTCAAACATTTTGGCCTTGTGGATCAAATGCGGGCTGGTGTAAAGCGGTGGGGTGCCGAAGCCAATCACTGCACGATGGGTTGTTGTAGTGCTATGTGTGCCAGTGTTGGCTTCCGACATGCAGATGTGAATGAGTATAGACAAAAGCTCCACACACCATGGGCAGGAACTCTCACTGCCTGAAGCGGGCGAGTGAGAACATGCTCACTGTCTCAAGTGAACCCGGCGGGATATATATATATATATATACACATATGTGTCTGGTGTTTTATTTTTGGATGCACACAGTCACGTCCTACATTTAGTATTCACGGTGTTTTTCACGAAAGGGAGCGAAGCTAGCTGGAGTTACTCTTGCGATAGCAAGGTTTCTTTCGATCGGGTGCAAATCCTAACCCCTGATTTTTCAGGTCGAAGCCCCCCCCCCCCACCTCCCCTCTCCCCACCTCCCCTTCTCCTCCTCCTTGTCTTCCTCCCTCCCTCCCTCCTCCCTCTTCGCAAGTTCGACTCCGTCCTGTCGTCGCTCTTTGGCATGCGGTTAGCGTTGCGTATCTTGCGGCCGCACTCGCTCACTTTCACTCTCACTCTCACTTTCACTCTCACTCTCACTCTCACTCTCCCTGTCTCTCTCTCTCTCTCATCTCTCTCATCTCTCTCTCATCTCTCTCATCTCTCCCTCATCTCTTTCTCATCTCTCTCTCATCTCTCTCTCCTCTCTCTCTCTCTCTCTCTCCTCTCTGTCTCTCGTCTTTCCGTCTCTCTTCCCTCTCTTCTCTCGCAGGAGGATCCGGGCAAAGAGCCACATATAAAGGACTCTTCACCTGGAATCGTTTGCCCCGCCCAACTTGTGCAAGGCGTCCTGCCTTCTGCTAGTCTGTGCGACTGCCTCCAAAAAGAGCGCCGTGTTTTTTCCTACATCGCTGCCCTCCACTTTCCCATTCTGGAGCGCTAGCTTTCGCCCCCCTTGGCCTCAAGTCTTTTAAGTGTGGTGGTCGGATTTGTATCCAAGGACACTGCCGCCATGAAGGCAGCTGGCTTCTCCTTACGCTGTGTGCCTAGCAAAGCACCAAACCAGGCCCGGCACCGTACATACTCTAGCGTGATGGTGGTTATTCATTGCTCAGTCAGCCCGTTTTTGGTCTTCCAAAGCACGCAGGCAAAAAGACTCCAACGGACTCCAATCCTTCTCAAAAGAATCCAACCGACTTGGCACTTCTCCAGGTTTTAGTCCCTCGTGGCAATACCTTGACACTTGGCCATGTAGTGCCAAAGCGATGGATTCTCCATGCTGCTCAGCACATCGAAATGGATGAAGTGAGACAAGTAGTAACAAGAAGCTAGTAGAAACAAGTGCCTTACTAGTAGTAACAAGAAGCTAGTAGAAACAAGTGCCTTACAAGTAGTCTTGTTCGACCACAGAAATGTAGTGCCTGAGGTCTACTACGAGGCCCATCGAAAAGGTGACGTTGAAGCAGCATTGGCCAAAATGGGCCACGATATCTCCCGATGTGAAGAGAGTATCGCTGCTGCTGACTCTATGGAGGAGTGGCTATGCTGCAGACAGGGTCACAGACTTGCACATTGACAATCTTTGTGGCCATTTTGTATAAGGCTGCTGGCGCACAGACACGGCTGTCAACGATATGGCCTTTGGATGCAGTAGCATGGCTTCAAATGCTTGAGCCAGGCAGGCAGGCAGGCAGGCAGGCAGACAGACATACATACACACATACACACATACACACACATACACATACACATACATAGACGTACATGCATGCATGCACACACACATAATCTATATATTAATAATACATTTATATATACACTTGTTTAAGTACCTGACTGAATGATACACATAAAATATGAACTTTAATGAATCATTGGGTTTGAAGGTGCTACGTGACCGTACGATTTTCCCGAGGCAGGGCAGCGAAGAAATCGAGGTCTCCAACGGCCGAACTTTGGATGCTGAAATGAAAGCCTGGCGAATGAGCTACGAGGTGCCTTGGGCGTTGGGATAATACCACAATGACTCACAATGACAACTTTATGGGCACAAGCAGCAATGCTTGCCGTGCATGCTTGCTTACTGACCGATTGTTTTAATTTTGCCAGTGCTTAGATAGTGACACACAGTGACGATGGACAATAGTGCTGGGTGATTACCAGAGAGTGACTTCTGATGAGATCTTTGGAGTACAGGAGGAGGCAGATCGTGCTTTAAACTAAAGCCGAATGAAGAATTACAAGAATTTGCCCTCATACAAAGGTGTTCAACGCCAAAATGTTTGTTCCTTGAGGGCTTAGTGTCGGCAAACTGCTACTGGAATAGCGGAAGCTGAAGGTTTGTGAGATTGCAAGTTTGTGTGTTTTTGGCGCGGCCGATGTGTTGAGATTCTTGGGCGTGTTGGGGTTAATTAGTGTTAATTCTTCTTGCCCCTCCAGGCCAGCAACATGAAAGCCATTGCAGGCCTGAAGTGAGTGCGATGCTAAGCGCTGCCACATGTACGAGCACCTCCAGGTGTTTGAGCCCAGAGCCCCTTGCCCTTCACACTACTTGCTTGCCGTAGGGTGGATCACATCTTCCCACATCGACGGAAGTGCATAGTGCAAAAAATCAGGCGCCGTGCAAGACTAGCAGAGTGACTAGCACTGTGACATACTGTGTCGCATGGTAGTGTAGGATTTCTGTTGGGCTTGCTCAGAAGCTACAAGAGCCACTTTTGGCAGTCCTGCGGCATGTTTTTTGATGTTATGTTGCAAAATGTGACACGTGGCAGTATCTATGTGGCAGTTTTTGGCGCACATACTTCGGGATGTTCGATGCATATTCAATTCCCGCTACCAGATGCTACCAGCACATCGTTGGAGGGACAAGCACAGCACAGCAGGGATGGGTTGGAATATGTTGTAATGCCGCTTTCTTTGCCTTTGCGTCGTGCCCATGTCTGGCGGCATGAAGCAGATGCAAATGCAGCTTGATTAGTTCAGAATGTCGAAGTTTCATTGCGGCATCGTTTGATTGACGACTCTCTTTGGGTGTTGGTTTTGATGCCCTTGATGTTCATTTCCATGAGAAGCCTTGTTTACCTCAGGCTAGTGACTCGCTTTGAGAGGTTGTCAAGGCGAATTAGCCTTGCAGGGCTCCTCTCGAATCACCAAGCAGTTCAGGCAATCTCGCAAGGTCTTCGGCTTGGCTCAGTCTTAATCATTGACTAAAGCCCAGCGACCTGAAGTCAGAACAAAGCCAGAGAGGCACCGTTTAACTTAGGCCGGGTCAAAGTAGATGGACAGCTAGCTTCAAGCAACTTCAAAGTCTTTCAGGAGGCACACGTAACTTTGGATGCTTGTGCTGCGTTATGAGTGTGTCGCTTTCTCTCGAAAGAGCGCGCACCAACCGAGCACAGCTCTGAGGATGGTGTGAATGTCCCACCACCTGAACCCGAGCCCAAGCTGTGGGCAATGTTCAAACCCAGGTGCCTTTCTTTCGTGTCGTTCTTGAAGTTTGATGTTACAACACCCAGCTGCCAGGAAGGTCCTTTGTGAGAACTTGGAACGTGAAGATGCCAGAACAATTCGTGCGAAAATGCGAAGGTGGTACGAGAAGGACTTGATGTTTGCAACTTATGTTGGTATTGAACGGCTGGGGGATGAATTCAGGAGATCAATCGGGCGGGTCAAGCCCTCGCAGTCGGTTTGGAAGAAGAGAGCCTCAAAGATCGGCATTGGGTCATTGACCATGTCTTAGCTGAGGATGATGCAAAAGAGAGGGAGGGGGAATATAAAGGGGATGAAAGGGGGAGACCAAAGAGAAAAGTAAAAGCTGCAGCTGGGCTGAGGTCACTGGATTGGCATATGCCTTTGATGGCTTGGTGCTCTTGACAAATGATGGTATATTTGCAGAGACGCTTGCAAGTGTGAGCCTAAGGACAACGGATTCTCTTGTGTCAGTATGTGTCAACGTGTTCGTTTGTAACGCTAAAACTGTGACAGTGTGTAAGGCTTTTTGACGTGCAACCAGGTGCCGAATCCAATATTCTCAGCGCGTTCGACTGCAAAATTCAAGGCAAATCCGATTTGTCTACATCCCTCCCCAACTCCCACTTCCCGCCTCCAGGTGACCCACCAGTGGAAGTGCTACACAAATGGCGGACTGGGGCTAGAGCGGCGGGCGTGAACTATGGCAGAGAACCTCTTCAGCGAAAGTTCGGAAATTCTGTGAAGTTTAGATGTTGCATATTAATTTCCTTCTTCGTCGCCACGGCATGACAACCTGACACGAAATTGCACTTGATCAGACAGACTTCATCTATATAACTCATTATAACTCAAGCCCATCTAAGGTGTTTTGCACTGTGCAAAAGCGAACGGGGGCAACTTACAGAATGCGAGTGAGATATGTGGAGTCGCCAGATCGGCCAATCGACATGCGACTTTCCGTGAATGTGTTCAGGCAAAACGACAATCAAATGGCTTCATCCTATGGCACAACATGTTTCTTAATAGTTACCGTTTATTGCTCGGGGTAGGGCGAGAATTGTGGGAAGAGGTGTAGACGGTTCCAAGGCTGCTGGATGCCCACCGCATGCGAATACAAACAGTTCGGCGATATGCTTTCGGACCGTGCCTTGGAACATCATAGAGTAGATTGGAGTGCTTGGAACACAACAGAAAAAGATATAAAGCAAGAAACCAGGTAAGGCCCCGTCATACACCTTTACGGGGGGTTGTTCTATGCAGTAAGCTTGCATCGCCTCGCTACACGCTCAATTTCAGTTGTTTGAGCTATACTATGTAAATGAGCCATGTTGTTCAAGGTATGTCCTCTCTGATGTTTCTGGGCTGAAATTCAGATTTTGCACATTGGGCGCGCAGGCCAAAAAGGCATGCCTTCACATGCTTGATTCTGCTGATTTGATTGGTTTCCGTTTGAGGTTCCTGAAGATAATGTGATCCGTGTTCCTATTCACAAGAGCATTAGGCGCGGCCAAAGAAGAATTGGCGGAACATGTTTGGGAAGTGTCCACATCAAGACTGATCAACGAGGCATTTGCTTCCAGTGGCCGACATGAGACAAACGCTGGTGCCAGTACACGGTGCCATGCTCGAGGCTGGGTTTCACATGTTTTTTTTATCATTTCAGACCTCAAACGACACGAAGCCCTCAAGAAAAAGTAGCCGTGACCGCCGCCCATCTCTTCATAAAGCAGTCTAGCGGTAGCAGTAGTAGCAGCAGCAGTAGCAGCAGCAGTATCATGACAGTAGCAGCAGGAGCAGCAGCAGGAGGAGTAGTAGTAGTAGCAGTAGCAATAGCAATAGCAGTAGTCGTAGCAGTAGTCGTAGCAGTTGTAGTCGTAGTAGTCGTCGTCGTAGTAGTCGTAGTCACGGTGGTGGTGGTGGTCGTAGTAGTACATACTTTAACTAGAATAGTCTAGTCTAGCCCTTTACTAAAAATAGTCTTCGGGGACACGTCCACCAGCGGGATTGAGTGCGGTTCAAGCAGCTGTGGTCAGCTCGGCGGTTGTTGCTCTCACGAGGCATCACGCCCCCGGCGCTTTTTGATCTTTTTGTGGAGTTCACTTTGTTTAAAGGCGCAGTACGGGCAACCTTACACACACATATATATATATTATATAACTAAAGCATATTACAGAGAAAGGGTTGTCAAGAACCGATTGGGGTCAAGGGCTTGGGAACTAGGGACTGGAGCAATGTTTGGAGTTGTGCGCGCGCATCATGTTCGGGTGGCCCGCAGGCTCCTGCAATGCATCTCGCAGTGCGCAGAGTGTCGCAGCCACTTGTACCAGCCTCTTTCTCTGCTGTATTTGTTCTCTCCATGTTTGCACGTCACGTTTTGCTGTCCTCGTGGCGAAGCGTTTCACCCTAATGAACCATCGTCAGAGCGCACTTTTCATGCCACAGGATGGAGAGAGGGGTAGTCGTGTGCCACCGCCCCTGCAGAAAACACAAGAAGCAGTAGTCATCGTCCCCTCCGCTCCCGCCTGTTCAAAACCTTTCAGAGACACCCTCTCAAACAAGCAGCCACACCTCACAGCGCTGGAAGTCTTTGCATCCAGGATGGCAGGCTGCGCAAGCCTAGCCTGGAGAACTCCGCTGTCCCAGTGACGCCCACCCGCATAAATCACAAGTCAGTCTAGGATGCTCAATTTTACAGAAGAAACATGAACACACATATTTCTTTGCCAGCTTGGCATGTACCGACTTTCCAAGGAGCCTGACCACAGTTGATGTGCAAAGAGATCAGGCTTGGCTTGAGCGCCAAAAAAGTGACATGCATGTAGTGGAGTTGCCACATGTTGCAGCCATCAAGATTTGGGATGTGTTTTGCGATTTGGCTCAATTTGGAGCTTGGGTGAGCTTGACCGCCCCCCAATGAAGCCAGCCGTGGCCTAGGTCCACAGACGCATGGCATGGGTGCAATAGAGCAGAGGCGCTAAGCCGCTAAGTGTGATACAGGCAACACCACCGCAAAGTAAGAAACAACCAGTTGCGCTTTGCATCGCATTTCTTGGTGCATCGCTGAAAATTCAAAAAGTACCATACTTGGGGTCTAAGCCTACAACATCAGCCAGTTGAATACTGTTGAATGCTTGGCTCTTGGCAGGTTCAGAGCCTCAGCGACCCTAAAACTTATATAATTGTTATGATTGCAAGGTGTGCTTGAGGCTTTGTGCTGGAGCTGGGTTCCGCCTTCCTCCATTTCATCCCAGGAAGTCTTTTATCATAGTGTTTCCCGTGGACAAGCCGGCTAATTATATACTGGGTGGATATACTGTTACTGCATACAGATATACATATACATACATTATACATACATACACCATGGGCTCCAACTCAGGTCCTCATGCGCCTGCTGGGGACACTATGCTTGCAGCTCACTGAGAGAGATCCAACTTGTGCAATTCTCTACAACTCCAGATTTCCTCTCTCAGAGTACCTAAAAGTTGGTGAGGCTTCTTGGTGCTGGCATGGAGCTGAGTGAGTACCAGATGAGTTGACTCAGAGAGAGAGAGAGAGAGGCAGCGAAAAGATGTCACGAGTTGCGGAGGCCTTTTGCATGACACATGTCTAGCGGAGGCACTGAAGCACTGTCCCCTTTGGGTTTGATATATATATATATACGTATATACAGTTGCTTCAACAGACTGAGGGGCGGCTGATTTCAAGTCCATCGAAGAGTTGGCCGCGCTGGCGCCTGTGACCCCTGCAGAGGCGTGTCATCGGCGTGCTGTGTGATGTTGCGACATCATCCTGTGTTGCATACTTGTGCAGTGCCACGGGTTTGTGATTTGTGTCAGTTCAGTTATGCCGTGCAGCACGCTGCAGTACGGCAAGTTATGTTGACATGCATTGTTACATATTGGAGTTGCTTTTGTGTATGTGATGCAAGCGTGGTAACGCAGTGAGTAGGATGGAGCAAAGCAAAGATTGGCCATGTAACGCAATTTAATGATATACTGTGTATACTGGCAAACGACAATGTCGTCACTTTTTTGAGTGATTGCTACCCTGCCTTGGGGGGAAGGCTTTGCGGAAAGTCATCTCTTTTCTCCAAACACAAGCTAACTCTGTTGGTTGGAAAGGGACCTACTTTTAGGTTGTATGTTGGCAACCCATAAAGGGCTTGATGTTAGCATTAGCAGGCATTAATCATGACTGGAAGGGTTACATTTTCTCCCAGGTGTTTTTGGGTTGTTGATATACTCAGGTTCGCCTGCAGTTGATGCACAGGTGCGGTGTATGATATGATATGATATGATATGATATGTGTTCTTTTTGGGTCATCCTAGGGACCACTGTTGAAGGTTCACCAGTTGCCTACATCCAGAGAGCTATGCTCCAACCATAGTTAAGGTCAGAGTTTCATGGGGAATCCTTCTCAAAACACCTTGGGGGTGCCCAGATGGTCGGTGTGCCTGCAAGGAACTATCAAGATGTCTTTTTTGCTCAGGTGTGCATCGGTCGTCCCAGTTCATTCTGCCGCTGGCAAACCAGCAAAGCACCGGTGGATGATATGATATGATATGATAGGCAGATCCAATCTTTCAGCAGGGGACCACATGTTCTGTCCACTGTGTTGAGTGACCACATACTTTTTTGATCAACAAACTATTTCTACAGCGTTCCAGTCGTTCCATTGGTTTTCGCACTCTTTGGGCTTACTTTTTTGGTGATAAGTCTTGTTTGGGTATCAGCGTTCCATTGGGGTTGGCTCCTGGGGGTGACTGGGGGATGACTTCTTGGAAACAGCGTTGCCATGGTGATTTGGCATTGAAACAGTGTCAAGGGATGACTTTGTCAGATTCCTGTATATATATATATATAATGACTTATATTTCATAATGACTGTGGCGGTTGCCATGGTGCAATGTGTTTGGAAGCATTTGACTTTGTTGGAGTTGGGCACCTGTTTTTGCAACGATGCAAAGCAAGCAACGAGCAACTATGCATGCTCCAAAGGCGGCGCTGGCCCAGACCGACAGCGATGAATTGGAGGAGATCCTTCTTTATATACTGAATATGCATGTCCTTTTTCCCAAGGAATTGCACACCACATGGCTGTTGGGGGACCGCAGGTACATCCGGCCACCCGTGTTCGGTTTGTGTGTTCGACTTGGTGAATGACAAGCGCCATCAAACACCTATTCGCAATCATGTGAGGGTCATTCTGAGCCAGACTTCGCAGTGTGACACCTGAAACCGTGGACAATGGACTTCACTGCTGCAGAGTTTGCTTGACCGAGTGACTCACAGACATCTCCAATTGTTGTTTGTGTGTGTGTGTGATTTTTGGAATAAACTGGCAAGCGTTACGACGTTGCGACTTGACACAAAAGCAGATGTTCGGCTATCTCAAGTCTCTCTTCTGTTCAACGTGTTGCAAGGATGTTGATGATGAGGATGCTCACGGAGTGAATGAAGAGCCAGCAGAAACTTGGATAGAGAATACCCCCCTGCATAGGCCAGCCGCGGGCGTTGCCCTCATGCATTTGTTTGTTGCGCTCGCCCGAGTTGGACGGGTGAAAGCCTCTATCGCTTGGGAGTAACAGTTCAGTGGTCCCAACTTGAGGAGCCGAAGATAAAGCAAACTAAGGGGGCGGTCAGGCCGTTAGGAGAGGGGTGAGAAGATGTAAGAAGGTGGAGGTAGTAGCTAGGAGGCATGGTGTCAACAACAAGCACTTATATAATTTATATTATAATATTATATATTTGTACTGGAAAACGACACCAAAGGAAGATGCTGATGTCGAAGGAGCCAAAATAAATGAGCAAAAGGAAGAATTATTGAGAATCCAGACTTTAGAACAGGAATGGGAGACATACTGTAAATAAAACCGAAACGAAAAGGGAAGACAAAGGACATACATTGGTTCTAGGATTCTAGGGCAGACTGCCCGGAGGGTCATTGACCGGTTCAGCAACCAACCGTTCAGAAACTTGCCGAGTCAGCAACTACGCATATCAGCAACTACTGGTATCCGTTTCAGCAACTACGCGTGAGCGACCAGTGTTCGTTTCAGCAACCATGCATGAGCATCTATGCGTTTCAGCATTGAACATCCGCGCTTCAGCAACCAAGCAACCAACCGTTTCTGCAAGCAAGAGCCGTAGCAGCTGCGCCATGCAGGCTGAGAATGCTCGTCATTGTCATCGGTTTTCAGTTTTGGGTACCGCAGCAGACCTTTTTGGTTATAGACTGAAGCAGGCGGTGACCGACCCAGAGGGTGGAGAATACGGAAGATACAAATGTGACTATATAAATCTTCAAAGAGAAAACTCAAAACAGAAAGGGCAATAAAAGAATCCATTTAGACAAAACATAGAAAAGCAGTGACAAAACTGCAGATTTAGTGCAAAAAGCAAACAAACGGTGGCAATGAGTGATCGCTGGTTTCCCAACTTTTCTACCAAGCTAGGCTAATAGCATTTTCCTCTAGTCTGTTATCCCAGTAGTCAGACAGAGAGAGAGAGAGATAGACGCAGAGAAGGGGAGACGTGTGGCTCACTCACCTTCACACTCATTCGGGTGCAACCTTCCTTCGCATAGCCCCACGTCTGACATGCCTCGCTTTGCCTTCAGGAGTCCTTCGGCCCATCATAGTCCCGACTTCCGGCTTTTGGCTGTCATGGTGCGTTATGAACCTGAGGATGTTAAATCAGCTCCGACCAAAAGAGCGAGTTTCGTTCCAAGCTTACAGGGAGAGCGAGCTTTTGCTTCCATGGAAATTGCACATGGCGGCATGGCGTGTCAGCATGTTTAATGATGATGGATTTGAGCTGACATGTTTTTTTTTGCTTCATCAAGGTTGTTGTGCGGGAAGTTTCATCCAGAAAGCAGGTTTGGCGTTTCGGCCAAGTACTGGAGTGACACTTAATGGCCGTACTTTGAACTTTTTGACAATTGTTGCTTCACAGGGTTGCCTCGAAATGCCCGAGACGGTGCAAAATTTACATACTGTAGTTTGAAAGCGCTAGGTCCGCTAGGTTTGTACTGCTTGATTTTGGCCAGGACAGTCTCACAAAGAAGGTCGAGCAGGTCAGCGCAAAGCACCATGCCAGTGTGTTCCGCTCCACACACCCTTCCAGGATGTACAACCCTATGGTCCGGCTGCGTGTGCACAGCTCCTACAGGGGCAGAGAATAACGAAGAAATGTGAAGAACGGCATGGCAACTGGAAAATACAAGCCGCAACTTCGGTAAGGTTCGAACCTTCAAGGACCAGAAGACCAATACCTGCATCATGAAGACGAGCTGCAAAGCCATTACAGGCATCGGCCCAGTGCAATCAAACCTGCACTGGCTTGCAACTTTGTTCTTGTCATATTTTGACATCCAATGTGTGTGTGTGTGTGCGCGGTGTGCTC